TCTTTTGCTGAGAAAAAACTTTTTAGTTTGAGTAAGTCCCATTTGTTGATTCTAGTTATTAACTTTTGTGCTATGGGTGTCCTATTGAGGAATTTGGAGCCCGACCCCACCGACTGTAGATCGTAGCCAACTTTTTCTTCTATCAGACGGCGTGTCTCTGATTTGATATCAAGCTTCTTGATCCATTTTGAATTCACTTTTGTGCATGGCGAGAGAAAGGGATTCAGTTTCATTTTGTTGCATATGGATTTCCAGTTTTCCCAGCACCATTTGTTGAAGATGCTATCCTTCCTCCATTGCATGCTTTTAGCCCCTTTATCAAATATAAGATAGTTGTAGTTTTGTGGATTGGTTTCTGTGTCCTCTATTCTGTACCATTGGTCCACCCGCCTGTTTTGGTACCAGTACCATGCTGTTTTTGTTACTATTGCTCTGTAGTATAGTTTGAAGTCTGGTATCGCTATACCGCCTGATTCACACTTCCTGCTTAGCATTGTTTTTGCTATTCTGGGTCTTTTATTTTTCCATATGAATTTCATGATTGCTTTCTCTATTTCTACAAGAAATGCCGTTGGGATTTTGATTGGCATTGCATTAAACCTATAGAGAACTTTTGGTAATATCGCCATTTTGATGATGTTAGTTCTGCCTATCCATGAACAGGGTATATTTTTCCATCTTCTAAGATCTGGAACTGGCTTTGAACTCGTGATCCTCCTGCTTCAGCCTCCTGAGCTGCTTGGATTACAGGCGTGCTCCACTGCGCCTGGCTTCTGAGTTGTTGTTTGAGGGATTTATTTATTTATCTATCTATCTATTTATTTATTTATTGGGGTATTGCTAGGGATTGAACCACCCAGGGCACTAATATTTATCACTGAGCTACATCCTTACATTATTTTCAGATAGAGTCTTTTGCTAAGGCTGACCTGGAACTTCGTCTCAGCCTTATGGGTTGTTGGGATTATACGTGTGCACCACAGCACCCAACTTTTTTTGAGTTTGTCTAAGGAAAGTAAACTTTTTTACTTAGCCATCTTGTCATTGCATCCAAAGCTTACTCAAAACATTTTTAGGAACTCTTTTTAATTTCCTTGTTTGACAAAACCCACACACATAGTAGTAACTATCTCCTTTACAGTGACCACATATTTTAAAGCCCTGTTATTAAAATATCTTTTTCTGTCTAGGTTCAACAACATGACCTTGAAGAAACAGCTGAAAGCACAAATGTTTCATCAGAACAAGAACCCACTAGTAAAGGTAAGAAATTTAAATAATTGTTCAATTTAAAGTTCATCTAAAGTGCCTTTTATTGGTTTAAAACTAAAACAAATATAAATTTTTAGCTAATGTAGGTTTAAAGGCACTTAGGACTTGATGTGTATCTTTTTTTCCCCCAGTAAATCTTTTGTAGAAAAACATAAGAGAGCTTTGTTTCTGCAAAAGCAATTACAAATATTTGACAGATATTTACCCACAACAAAAAATTCTGCCAGGAACATCTGTAGATAAAATGAGACTTTTTTTTTTTAAACCCATACTTTGGAATGTTAGCTTTTTGTTACTGTGGTCAAAATATCTGACAAGAACAACTTAGAGAAAAGTTTATTTGGGGCTCATGGTGTCAGAGGTTTAGTCCATGGTTGGCGAACTGTATTGCTCAGGGTCCACAATAAGGCACACAGCATGGCAGAAGGGTGTGGTGGAGGAATGTGCTTGGCTCATGGCACCTGGGAAGCAGGGAGAGATCAAGGATTCAGAGACAAGATATACTAAGTCTAGGACTGGGGTTATGGCTCAGTGGTAGAGCACTTGCCTAGTATGTGTGAGGCACTGGGTTTGATTCTCAGCACCACATATAAATAAATAAAGCCCATTCATTGACAACTAAAAAAATATTATTAAAAAAAAAAAAAGATATACAGTCTAATGCCATACCCCAAGTGACCTACTTCCTCCAGCCATGCCCCACCTGCCTACAGTTACCACCCAGTAGTCTATTTAAATTATTAACCCATCAAATAGATTAATCTACTGGTGGGATTACAGCTCAAATAATCTAATAGTTTCACTGTTGAATATTCCTGTTGCCCAACACATGAGCTTTTTGCAGGACACCTTTTATAAAACCATACAAATGAGCCTTAACTCTGGAAAATTCTAATTCACTAGAAATCAGGTAACCAGGAATCTAATTTATTTAATGTTTCCAGATTAGATCTTATGGACTGAATTTGTAAACCACAGCTAAGAAGAGATTTTAATTGCCCTTTTTGGGGGATTATAATGCCTATTGTATTTATTTGGTATTTTATTTATTGTATTTATTTACTATTGTAAATTTAACAGCTGTTGGTATTGCACTGATGTAAAATTAAGACTTTGTTTTGATGCAGATGACCAAGATAGCTCTCCTGTGAAACCTTGTTACCTCAATATCTTGGAAAATGAACAACCTTTAAATAGTGCTGCCCATAAGGACTCGCTTACCACTATTGATTCATCTAAACAACCTAACCCATTGCCATTACCTTTAACTGAAATTGAAACCTTAGTGCCTAGAGTCAAAGAAGTTAAATCTGCTCAGGAAACTCCTGAAAGCTCTCTCGCTGGAAGTCCTGATACTGAATCTCCAGTGTTAGTGAATGACTATGTATGTATCATTTACATTTCCAGTTATTTTTTATTTTAATTTTTGTGCATTTTTTTATATTCAGGTTAACATTTTAAGTGTATAAACCAAGCTCCACTTTAGGTTTAGGTTTAGGTCTCTTGAGAGCATTTTTATTTCATATTCACACTTATTTTGAACTTTAGCCAAAGAGTGATAATGAATTAAGATGACCATCCCAAAACCTTAAGGCTATTCTTTTTATAGTTTTGAAAAACAAAAGACATGATTATAGGTGGCAACTTTGGAAGAGTTCATTTTCAGTTCAGATCTGAAGTAATAATGATACATGAGTCATCATTAATCATTAATCTCTCATACTATCCTTTTTTGGGGGTGGGATACTGGAGATCAAAACCAGAGGCATTTTACCAGTGAGTTATATTCCAGCTCTTTCTCTCTCTCTCTCCTTTTTTTTTTTTATTTTTTATTTTTTAGACAGGGTCTGGCTTGGAACTTGTGGATCTCCTGCCTCAGCCTCCCGAATCGAGATTACCGGCATGCACCACCATGCCCAGCAATACACTACTCATTTTTAACTTCTCAGCTACTTAAGAAATTTTATACGTCTTTGCTAAACCTAAAAGTTTACATTTGGTATGTGAAATAAAACAATTTCACAGAAATAGAGTCCTTTTTCTATACAGTGAATGGCATAAAAATATACTAGGAAATCTGTACTTATGATAGTAAGTAGTAAGTTTAATTTTACTCTAGACAGTTGTTTCAGTTAAGTTTACAGTAGCAAGTTATGTTTTGGATCTTGGGTGTATATGTTTTATATACTTTACTCTCTCCTTAGCAAAATTGAAAAGATTTATAACAGTATTTGAACCTCAATAAGTACTTCTAGATATAAGAAAGGTACTTCATTTTTTAAAAATTAAAATTGATTTACTTTTTAAAGATAAATTCCTGAGAAAGGGTGCTTATAATGTTTTAAAAACATTAGAAGAAAGTTTTGTTTACCTCACCAACAGTAAATGTATGCATATAAAACATGGTGGTGCATGCCGGTAATCCCAGCAGCTCAGGAGGCTGAGGCAGGAGGATCACAAGTTCAAAGCCAGCCTCAACAATTTAGCATTTAGCAACTCAGTGAGACCCTGTCTCTAAATAAAATTTAAAAAAGGATTGGGGATGTGACTCAGTGGTTAAGCGCCCCTGGGTTCAATCCCCTATACAAAAAACTGAAAATTAGATGAATTACCTAGTTGAAATTAATTTGAAGTGAGATTTTAGAGACTTATGAAAATTTTTGTGCAAGAAAGTAAATGGTTAAATTCATGGTCTATAAAGAATAACCTAATGACTATAAAATAAATTGTAAAGGGTCAGGAGTGGTGAAGCATGCCTGTAATCCCAGTGATTTAGGAGGCTGAGGTGGGAGGATCACAAGTTCAAGGCCAAATAGCAAGGGTTAGAGATGTAGTAATTTGTACCTCTGGTTTCAATCTCTGGTACCAAAAGAAAAAAAAGAAGGAAGGTATATTAGATTGCTCTGCTATCATATAAGTATAAAATGAATCTGAAAAAGAGTCGGTGGGTAGACTTGCAGGAAAAGGAAAAGCATATGGTTTCTATTTAGTTACTAGTTCATAGAAAATTATGCTATTTAAAATTAGAAGGGAAAGGCAAAAACAGTTTGAGATGATCACAAAGGTAAATTATTAAATTCATACTTTCATCAAACCTTGATGGAGTCAGTGTATTGAAAACTTTGTAAGTATTTACTAATATTCTGCTTGATATAGTACTGATGCATTCGGTAGACATATTAAGAAACAAGTCATTTTTCTAATTAGTTTAGCCCGCTCTATAATTACTAATACATCTTTCTTCAGTCTATGTAAATCAGCTCTTGAACAAACATATCTCAACAGTATGTTCACAGCTACAGATGTGTAAACCTTCTAATGAACTCTAGGTTTCTGATATATTCATATAAGTATGGATACAGGAGAAAATCATAGAATTCCTGATATGTATTTACATATAAGAATGCATTTATTTCTTAGGATGGATGACAGATGTAGAGTAAGAGATAAAATGCTTTCGTTTTCAAGATAAATATAATTTATCTTACAGGAAGCAGAATCTGGTAACATAAGTCAAAAGTCTGATGAAGAAGATTTTGTGAAAGTTGAGGATTTACCACTTAAACTGACAATATATTCAGAGGTATTTTCTTGTCTTTAATCAAATTTGTCTTTATATAATACAGATATTGTTGAGATGAAAAATTTTATTTTTAATCTTCATTCTAAAGGCAGATCTAAGGAAGAAAATGGTAGAAGAAGAACAGAAGAATCATTTATCTGGTGAAATATGTGAAATGCAGACTGAAGAATTAGTTGGAAATTCTCAGACACTAAAAGAACCTGGTAAGATTCATCAATTTTATTTATTTGTTTGTTTGTTTGGTGCTAGAGATCAAACCCCAGGGCTTTGTGCATGTGAGGAAACCAACTGAGCTATATATCCACTCATCAGTTTTAATTTTATATTGAAAATTTTTTGATCATGATACTACCATTTGAATTTTTTATTTTTTTAGTGTGGTACTAGCTTCTGGGAGATTTAAGTCTAATGTTAAAGGGGAGGTATTCTGTAAAAACTTTAGTTTAGCTACTTAATTTATAAAACAGTATTCTCCTTTAATTATCAGATCATTTTTTCATCTTTCAAATTTTCAGTTTTAGCAAATTTATGCAAGTACATGGTTCAAAGAAAGGTGTAAAAAGTTAATGATAAATAGCAAACACCCACTTCTTTTCATTATTGGTTTTCTTCCCTATAATAAATGTGTATTTAGACATTTTCCCTCCCCCTCAGTGTTTGTAGTTTTTTTTTCTTCTGTTTTTCATCTTTG